TCTATCAACAAATAATACTAAAATTAAGAAAAATCTAGCTTAAGGATTACTAGAACAAGAATTTCAATTTTATTTACTTTTTTTTTTTATTATTATTAGAAAATTTACTTTATTAAATTGAAGCAAAGTAATTCTTATGAACTTCTATAAAACATTATTTGTTCGTCATAATCTTTCCATGTCCTTGGTAAGGTTCTTTTATTTTTTAATTTTTTACACTTTTCAAGCATTTTTATCATTCCACTCATAGCATTTTCTGCTGCTAGCAAAAATTATAGATCTTTGTATTGCTCTTGATTCTTTAACAGGTTTATCCATTTCTGAAGTTTGCCTGTGATACGGTTATTAACTTCTTTCCATACTTCATTAGATTCTTCAACAATAGTGTGATTAATATTTTCATTCCATTTTTCGTATATTCCTGAATTGTTTCTGCAAGTTCTTTGTCAAATTCATCACTAAACGGTTCATCAAGCTCATCTTCTGCTTATTTATCAGCTTCAGATTCATCTTCATCTACTGGGTCTAACCTTTGTGCTAGTGGGATTAGATCTCCAAAAAGGTGAAGTTCGATAATATTTAACCTCAACAAAAAAGTTTGGGCTTAAAGAATAAACTGATTGTTCAAGATGTTTGCAAAGAAGAAAATAATTGTTGAAATAAGCAGAACATGAACAAGTCTATAATTCTGGATTAGTTATATAGGAATTACTACTCAAGGTCTTTTTTAAACATGCTTTCCAAGTATGTTTAAAGACTAGATGCCATAATGCTATAATTCTTTTATGACCCTGTTTTAGTTGTTGTATTTTAATAATATATTGTGAGAGAAAGCGTTTAACAAGAATCCATACTAGTAGATCAACATGTGGTTTATTAAATTTATAAAGGTAATTATGCTTAATAAGTTTCCAGTATGATTCTGCAATCATCATTGTTTTTAACACAGAAATTTTATTTTTGTGCTTCGTGCCTAGTCTGACCATTTTGATATATTATACCACTCTACCCACAAATATAACTATGCCCACTTAAGATTATTATTCTTACAATATATATATATTTCTTTAACAGCAGCCTCATGAATCTGATTTGAAGAATAGTACTAATTATCAAATACGGGAATAAAGAGATGTTGGTTAAAGTGTTTAGCTATAAGATTAAAAATGGGATTGTGATACTCAGAAGAGCAAAAGGTAAATGCAACTTTTTTATTTTGCGTCTAGTTATTGGAATGAGTTAGTTGATTGATTTCATTCTCTTTATTTATTTCAGAATAAAAATCAAGATCGATAAAGGAAAATTCATTATTTGCCTCTTCTGCAGAATACCAGGTTATCTTTTGCTTTTTACTTAATAATAATTGTCTTTTTTTTAGATGCCAAAAACAAAGCTAGATATGGGCATTTGGTCATATGCTTTTCGCTGCTGAAATTTGTGCAGAATCTTTATCTGTCATTATGTAAATAGAGTTTACTCCTTTATAACACAACTTATCAAAAAACTCTGTAACTCTTAGTATACGAATGCTATCATTTATTGCAGTAGCTATAGTTAATAATATGTATGCTAATGGATATCCTATTCCATCTTCCTCAGCAAGTATTGAATACAACTCAAGATTCATTTTATTGGTATTATCTGAATTATATAAAATATTAATTTCGAATTATTATTTATTATTGTTTTTAAATTTTAAATTTTAGGTATAAATATATACACGTTGCATTTATACCAATTTTAGTTGCCTTTACTCCTAAACTGTTAATTATTTCTTTAACTCTGATGCTTATTATGATAGATTCACTATCATTAATATAAAACAATAATTCTATATAATTATGTGATGAAATTATTTTAATAGCAGAGTGGATTTGGTTTTCATCTTTTTTCCAAATATACTGGCTAAAATTAATCCACCAATGGTATATTTGCTTCTCAGTAAGATTCACATTACTTGAGCCAATATTCTTCTATAAAACTCGAGGAGTTTGTTGAAGGTTATTTTGGATATATTTTTTAATTTTATTTGTAATATGTACATCAACATATTCGGCATGATACTCATGAGTTAACTCAACAGTAACATGATTTTTTTCTGTATTTATAGAAATTGTTAACTACCCCTGTAGTGAAATCATTACATTGGTAAATGATCCCTATACTTTGTTGGGTCTTCATGTTTTTTTTGGCTTCTTTTGCCGGTCAAGCAACTAGGCACAATGATATCTAAATATTGTAATGTGATCTGATTTTAATGAAACCTTGTCATGATAACTTGAAAAAATTAAAGGGTTAGTTTTTAATAATATTGTATATTGAAGAAATAGTATAATTACTTTTAGTATTCTTACTTAAATTTAAAATTTATAGTTTCAAGAATATTATTCACAATAGACGACGCTATTTCTTTAGGATCAATTGGGTTGTATAATTGCTAATATCAATAATATTTTTAAAATTTTCTATATTTTGATTTTTTATAGTTTCTAAAATCAAGACAAAGTCTTCTATTGTGATAAGAGTAGTACGTGCATCTACCAGAGAGTCCAAACTGGCACTTTTTATACATATTGTGTATTTTTTTTCAATCTACATGCTGAACATGTTTTACCAATTTTACTATTTTTTTTTAGAAAATCTTGAATTGAACAAGGTTGACCGCAGCCGCTACAAACTGGCTGTTCAGTACTAGAACTACCCGATTGTAATTCCATAATTTGGATTTATCAATGTAATGAACTGTCAAGATTGATAAAAAATATATCAAGCACAAGGAATAATTAAATTGTGTATATTAAATCAATTGAGAGTAAATTTGATATATTTATTTTAGAATTATCTTGAAGAATTTGTTAAAGGTTAAAACCATCATTTATATATATATTCACCTATCAATAAAAAAATTCTTGAAACAATTAAAAAAAATTAATTAACAATTTGACTGAAGTGATTGTATTTGATTTTGGCTAATTTTGCTTTCTTGTTATAACAAATTTAGAAATAATTAAATAGCCAATTTAAATATAGACTAATTAAATATATTACTATACAATGCATCTAACATACTATATAAAGTATATTATATTACTATAAATATTGCGATACATTTAATACTATGTAAAGTATGCAATGATACTTATAAAGCATGCATCTCAATACCCGATACAATCTAATAAAGTATATTACTAAGTTCATGATGTATTTAACGTATTACATAATGATAAAATATGTATATACAATTATTTTAAATATATTAATATAGTCAAGAAGCTTTTGGTTGATATTAAATTTAGCTATATAGCTTTAATTCAATACCAAAATTTGAGAATTAAACTAGTTGATAAATTTTGATTAAGGGCATTCTTAAGTATCACCCTAGACACGCTTTTTTAAGAGACATTATAGAAGTTTGTTTAAGAAATAGCTATTGAGCAATGGGTTGTTGGAGAAACAGTAGTTGCCAGAAAGTAGTGGTGAGCAAATCTAGTTATATATCAAATATAAAAATGTTTGCAAATATTTGAGCTAAATCCAAACCAAATTCAAAGTTATATTTGAGCCTGATTCAGGTTTGAGTATTGTAAATTTGAGTTTGATTTGGGTTTGAAGATTATTAAAATTTCAAGTTTGGTTTAAGTTTGTATTCAGATTTAACTGAACCTAAACCAAATCTGAATTAAATATCAGAGCTCTATTCTATACTATATTAATACACATGCTTATACTGCAAACAATCTAATAATTGCAAAGTTTTTAATTATTAACACCAAGTAGCAAGTGATACTATAATATACAATAACAAATTATATTATAAATCTTATATAGAAAATCTCTTCAAACCTAAACTATAAATCTTCTAAGAATATAAGCAATAAATTTATCTTAAAATTTAGACAATTACTTAATAAATTCCATACTTTTAACTCTCTAGCTTTAGAACTTAGTCCTCTAATCTTCTTAATTAAAACCTCAGATAAAATAGATATAGACAAAGATATCTTATTAGTAGTAATCTCAAAATAACTTATTATTATTATTTATTTATTTTTTTTTACTTCTCTTTGCATTTCAAAGATCTTTAGACATCTTTAGATCTCTTATATCTCTTAAAGGCCAGAGTTTTTGTATCTGCAAAGATCACTAATATAGTGAATTAGCTAGCTATATATTACTATACTGGTAAGATAACTCATACTCTGTTAAGTATATTATATAATGTCCCAGGTCTTTGGTACTGCAGTATAGAATCTATGTTCTCTAGATTCACAGTTTTTTAACTTCATATAATCCACAAGCTAGATCATTTTTTATATCTGATATTCTTGATTCTAGTAATCCTTAAGCTAGATTTTTCTTAATTTTAGTATTATTTGTTGATAGATTACATCTTATCTGGTTATTGTTAGCTCTATGGCTATATTAGAGGACTGCAATTTATACAATACAGGATAGTAAAAGATATTCAATCTATACATAGAGGTGCTAATTTTTGATGCTTATATAATCAATTATGATTAGCTAATTTTTGTGTAATTGTTTCTGATTGGTTAAAATTATATATATGTTTTTTTTTTTTCTATATTAAATACCAATTTTTTGAACTCATATAAACTTTAATCCTTTATAACTTTTTTAAAACAAAGAATAAAAAAAATCTTCTGACAAAAATGTAGTTTATCTAAAAATCTATCAATTTGTTAGAGGGTTTTTAATTTAGCTTGTTTTTAAAAAGTTATAACACTTTAAAGTTTTTACTAATAAATATTGGATGCATTTTACTGTCCAGTACTGTATGAATCATGTTCTTTATTTTTTAATAGAAAATTTTCTGAAGATTACCAATTGTAGTTTTGGCAGAGTTATTTGTCAACTAGTAAAATTGAACTTATAATTTTTTGATTGTGATCTAAGAGCACTAACTACTATGCTATCAACCTATAGTTATTAATGACTTATTATTATACTAACTAAATTATATAAAAAATTTAAAATTAACAAAATTTAGATTAACTTAAATATTTAGTATTCTTTAGCAATAATTACCTCAAGAATTGCCACTATAATTATATTCTTAATTTTATATTAAATATCAAAAGCCAACAATTTCTACTTCTATTTAAATATTAATACTTAACAATAACAATCTTAGCAATCAATATAGCAACAACAGACCTAATAGCAATAGCTAACTACTAATTTTAATACTATTTATACTAGTACTATTAACTTATAACAAGACTAGAATACTGCTTCAAACTAACAAAAACTAAATTTAACTCTTCTATAACTATTCTCTTTATATTAAAAAAATATTTCTAAACAACAACAACTATTAATTAAAAATATATATCAGCAATAGAGATATGGGCTGATATCAAAATCTCAAATCAACCTGGCTGCAAAAAAACTTAACCTGATTAACTAAGCAGGCCATTCTACTAAAAAAAATTTTAATCAATAAATTGCAAGATATTTATACAAAATATTGGTCTTTAGTACTTCTCAAACTCATTAAAAAAATTCAAGTAGCAGTATTTAAAATAATTTTCTAAAAATAGAGTTAAATAATTTTTTCATTTCAAAAAATAGCTAAAGAATAGAAACATATGTATATATATTACACAATTGAACCAGCAAGCTAAATATAGGGTTTGTGATATTATATCATGTTATATTTATGATATTGTTATCAAAATAGCTAAAATATTAATTTATTGTATAATTATCATGACTTTTACATATTATTCCTAAACATCTGATTAAAAATTAAATAAAGATTAACTATTCTATTTAGATAATTTTAATTAGATATCTGAGAATAATAAATTAAATATTAGCAAATAGCTATTTTTATTTTTTTGATACAATTGCTTTATTAATTCAAATTTAATTATATTGCCAACTATGATCCTATTCTTATAATAATTACTAATTTTAAATGTTCCTTCAACATAGTTTATATTAGCAGCTTTTTGTAAAGTTTAAAAGCTCTTTGCTTATTCTTTTTGATTGTATTTCTCTTTTAATACCAATATGCTGCTTTATAATAATATTTACCTACTTTATTTTTATCTTCTTTAACTATAATTTCACTCTCATAATAATATCTTTATATCTTTGTTGCATTACTAATTTAAATTTTATTTTAGGCTAGAATAAATATTGAAAATTTTAGAATTTGTTTTTAAAAACAATATATCATGTACATTGGTTAGCTCTAATTAATTTTTTTGTTAAAATATTTTTTGCATCAGAGAATAACTATTTAGAGGATATTGAAGTGGCCAGAAATGCAAGAAATTTTCTTGCCAATGCTGCTAAATTTGGATATTCTCTTTTATTTATACATTACTATAAAAAAGATTATGAGTTTTGTAAAGCGGTTTTTAATGCAATATTTATATATTAGTATTACTTTGTTGTATTATTTTATTTTATTTTTTATCAAAAAATCAAGTTAAACATCATTATAAAGCTGATCTATTTTTGTTTGTACTGGGATATCTATAGCATTAGCTCTTGCTTTTATTATTTCTAACAATATATCTTGAGCTTTTTGTTTTATTACTAGCAAAGACCAATTTTTAAACTGAGGATCAAGATAAGAGGCAAAATAAGCTTCTATTAGAGATAATTTTCAGCAAGCTAATATGAGTTTTCAATTTGTTAACAAATATTTAAAATACTAGATGAACTAGAAACTAGAAGATGTTTTCATTTGATGTATATAAGATAGCAAAAGTGAAATTGTAGGAAGCATTATGCCTAGAGTCAGATATTGTGTATCTTTGATTAATTTTATTGATTGGGTGAAGAGTAACAAAAGTTTTAATAAATTCTCTAATTCATTTCACTCTTCTTCAGAAAGTAATCTTCTACTTAAATTTTGTTTATCTTTTTTTTTGTTGATATTTAGAATGATGGTTTAATAACTTTGCAAGTTGCTCTACAGCATCTTGTAGTTAAAGTAGACTTTTTAAAACAGAAAATATAGAATTTTATCTTGTCTTGATATTACAAATAGGTTTTACAATAGATTGATCTTTTTTTTACTTGCTTACTTGATTGTACTAATGATTTATACAAATCTTAAGATTTTGAATTAGAATCTTCATCCTTTAATAACAGCCAATCAGAGTCTTCTAAAATATTTTTTGATAGTTGATTGAATTTATTTTAAATATTGTGAAGGCTTTGTCTATATTGATCTCTTTTTACTAACAAATTATTTAATTTTTTTGCTTTACCTAGAATATTATCATATGCACCAAGTCTATCTTTAATAGCTAACTAGATTGTATAAGCAATGCAATATGTGTAAGATATTTCAAGTAATCATATTCTTTTAACAACTAATTTGTTATTATCAGTAGTTTCTTCAATTAATTTATCGCATTTATTCCAATGCTCAAAAATTTTGAATAAAAATTGTTCTTGATATTCTTCTAAATGCAAATCAGAAAACTCTTTTATTGTTAAAACTGCTTGATATAACTCAAAGATTTTGATAGCTAATAGATTATTATACCAATATATAGATAGTATATACTTGTCCACATATCTGTAGTAAAAAAAAAGATTTTATTGTTTTTGATATTAATTTACATAATTGATCTTTAGCAAAAAAATACTGATTTTTTAATTTTGATTTTACTGGTGCCAAATTAAGAACTTTAAAATAGAGGTCTATTTTATAGTACAATTCACAAAATCTTAGTCTTTCTGCAGTGATCAAGGCTTAATAATCCTTAACAACCCACATTGTTAAGAAAAATAACAATTTCTGTTGTTTAGCTAGCTTATAAGAGTCCAATTTAGCAAATAATAAGAGTATGGTTTGTATTAATTTATCTAATTCAATTATTTCTAAATTTTTTCAATTTGTTGCTGTGAAAAAAAGTGATAAACTGCATTAAGATGTTTACCAAGATGTGTTATTGAAGTTTTAAAGCTAAAAACCTTATTATATTTTTTTTATTCCTATCTAAGTTTACAATTATATTATATTTAATCTGGTTTTTTAACTTATTCATTCATATATATTTTCAGATCCAACTACCATTTGATAATTTTAAATCTACTACATTGTTTGACAATATTTTAACATCTGGAACTTTTAAA